TAGTAGTTGTTGGTAGTGTTGGGTTGGGTTAGGATTGGAGGTTGGGTTGGGTGCAGGGGTTGGGTTAGGTGGGGTTAAGTTAGGTGTTAGGTTAGGTTAAGTTATGGAGGGTTGGGTTGGAGTTACGCAGGGTTGGGTTAGGTAGGGTTAGGTTAGGTGGGTTAGGTTAGGTTAGATAGTTATGGAAGGTTGGGTTGGTTAAGTTAGGTTAGGTGGTTAGTTGGTAGTGTTAGGTTAGTTATGGAGGTTGGGTTAGGTTACGCAGGGTTAGGTTAGGTAGGGTTAAGTTAGGTAGGGTTAGGTTAGGTTATGGAGGGTTGGTTGGTTACGCAGGGTTAGGTTAGGTAGGGTTAAGTTAGGTAGGGTTAGGTTAGGTTAAGTTATGGAGGGTTGGGTTAGGTTACGCAGGATTAGGTTAGGTTACGCAGGATTAGGTTAGTTGCGCAGAGTTAGGTTAGGTTAGGTTAGGTTACGTTAGGCAGATGTCCTCAATTCATGTAGCCAAAAAGCTGAACTTATGTGTTTGTGTTTACCTACAGTCCTGTATAACTCAGGTGTAATATTTATATAATAAAACTCTTTTTGGATAATATTACAAACTAAATATTGTAAACTCACATGAAAATCAGGTTTCATTAATTTAAACTGTGATTCAGGCATTGCAAATGACAGAGGTGCGGAATTGGGTTGAGATTCGCGGTTTGGGAATTATTGCGTTAGGGGGTTCAGATTCAGGGGTTCAGGGTTTGAATTCAGGGGTTCATGGGTTGGATTCAGGGGGTTTGTGTTCATGGGTTCGGATTCATGGTTCAGGGGTTCGGTAGTGTGTGCTCAGGTGTGTTTGTCCCTTGCTGATGACCACCCGGTACCAAGGAACAGTGCCAATCATCATCACCAGGAACAGTGCCACTCATCATCATAGGAACAGTGCCATTCATATCCTGGAATATTCATCACCAGGAACAGTGCCACTCATCATACAGGAACAGAGCCACTCATCTCACAGGAACAATGCCATTCATCGTCACCAGGAACAGTGCCACTCATCATCACAAGGAACAGTGCCATTCATCATCACCAGGAACAGTGCCACTCATCATCACCAGGAACAGTGCCACTCATCATCACCAGGAACAGTGCCACTCATCATCACCAGGAACAGTGCCACTCATCATCACCAGGAACAGTGCCATTCATCATTACCAGAACAGTGCCATTCATCATCCAGGAACAGTGCCACTCATCACCAGGGGCAGTGCCACTCATCATCACCAGAACAGTGCCACTCATCTCACCAGGAACAGTGCCACTCATCATCACCAGGAACAGTGCCACTCATCATCACCAGGAACAGTGCCACTCATCATTACCAGGAACAGAGCCATTCATCGTCACAGGAACAGTACCACTCATCATTACCAGGACAGTGCCACTCATCACCAAGAACAGTGCCACTCACCATCACCAGGAACAGTGCCACCAGGAACAGTGCCACCAGGAACAGTGCCACCAGGAACAGTGTCACCAGGAACAGTGCCACTCATCATCACCAGGAACAGTGTCACCGAGAATGTCACCAGGAACAGTGTCTCGGAACAGTGCCACTCATCATCACCAGGAACAGTGCCATTCATCATCACCAGGAACAGTGCCACTCATCACCAGAACAGTGCCACTCACCATCACAATGTCCAGGTGTCACCATGTCGTAACAGTGAGAAATGAAAGGCAGGACTGTGGTAGCAGCTCAGGGAGTGTGGCCTCACAAGTCTCTCTGTCAGGTAGAATTAACTCTGTCTCTGCTGATGTATTGTGGTGACTGTGTGTACTGCTGCTCTCTCTCTCTCTCTCTCTCTCTCTCTCTCTCTCTCTCTCTCTCTCTCTCACAAGGGTTCCGTAATACATACACATAATTACCTACTTCACAATCACTTAGCAGGGCGATGGATTGGTCTAATCGCCTAAAACTCAGGACCAGGGAGAGAGGTGGATTGGGTCCTATCATCCAGTCCCAGGTTAATATACATCTACCTGTGTTTGAGATGATAGCTAGAGTGAACTAATCCTCTGTCCCATGTTAATTTAGTTAATGGAGGAGGCGGTGTGGGGTGTGTTGGAGTGTGTGGGTGTGCGTGTGGTGGGGGAGGTTTTGGAGTGTGTGGGTGTGGGTGCGTGTTTCCTCATATCATCATCATCATCATCATCATCATCATCATCATCATCATCACCACCACCACCACCACCACCACCACCACCACTTGCACCACCATTACCACCACCACCACCACACCCCACAACCACCACTTGCACCACCACCACCATTACCACCACCACATACCACTTGCACCACCACCACCACCATTACCACCACCACCACCATCATTACCACCACCACCACCACCACCACACCCACAACCACCACTTGCACCACCACCACCACCACCACCATTACCACCACTTATAATAACACTTACAAAAATTGCTTAAGTCCCTGGACGTGTGGGTAAATTACTGGCAGCGTTTACTCCTTGTGTCCTTAAGTGTTGGTTTACCTTACTTAATGACGGCTTGGGCAGGTGCAGCTCTCATCCTCCATTACTTGTGGGTGTACTTATAATTTGTTAAGGTTACTTTTTAGTTTTCTTTTACTTTTGGTATTTTTGTGTATTATCAGTTTTACTTTTTGGGTAACATATATTTTTGAGGCTAAACATAAACACACATAAATACAAAGACTCACACACACACACACACACACACACACACACACACAAACACACACACACACACACACACACACACACACACACACACACACACACACACACACACACACACACACACACACAAACACACACACTCACACACTCACACACACACACACACACACGCAGGTCTAACAGGCAGTGTAAGAAACTCCTGAGAATGAAACTTTTGGCTACAAGTTAGTGAAGGGGAGATGACGTTGGGGAGGGGAGGTCAGGAAGGGGTGAGGGGCAGGAAAGATAGGGTGGGGAAGGAAGAGGATGAGGAGGACAAGATAGAGAGGAGGAGGAAAAAGGAAGGATAGGAATAGAGAGGACATTTCCCTTTCCTTACTAATAACAAATAAACACCTGTACTCTTCTAATTAACTCCTACAGGTGTGCTATATATTATTCCTGTAACCAGAATATAATTATAACACAGTTATGAGAATTTAATTAACATCCACACGCAGGTAACAGTATGTGACGTACCTGGGTGGCTATTGACGTCACACATCCACACGCGGGTAACAGTATGTGACGTACCTGGGTGGCTATTGACGTCACACATCCACACGCGGGTAACAGTATGTGACGTACCGGGTGGCTATTGACGTCACACATCCACACGCGGGTAACAGTATGTCGTACCTGGGTGGCTATTGACGTCACACATCCACACGCGGGTAACAGTATGTGACGTACCTGGGTGGCTATTGACGTCACACATCCACACACGGGTAACAGTATGTGACGCACCTGAGTGGCTATTGACGTCACACGAGGTATTAAGGCTTAAGCAGCTGCCTCGATAAATGGCTGAAAATCTGCTTCTGTCTCGTGTTGTTTTGTGGATGTATTTTGACGATAGTGTTGGTGGCCCGGGCCTGAGTGTTGGTGGCGGGCCTGAGTGACAGGCCTGGGCTGGATGGCGGCCCGGGCTGAGTGATGGCGGCCCGGGCTGGGTGTTGGCGGCGGGGCTGAGTGATGGAGGCCGGGACTGGGTGATGGAGGCCCGGGCTGAGTGTTGTGGCCGGGCCAGGTGATGGAGGCCCGGGCTGGGTGATGAAGGCCTGGGCTGGATGATGGCGGCCCGGGGCTGAGTGATGGCGGCCGGGCTGGTGGTGTTGGCGGCCCGGGCCTAGGTGGTGGCGGGCCTGGTGATGAAGGCCTGGGCTGGATGACGGCCCGGGGCTGAGTGATGGGGCCGGGCTGGGTGTGGCCCGGCCTGAGTGTTGGTGGCGGCCTGGGGAGGCCTGGGCTGTGATGGCGGCCCGGGTGGTGATGGAGGCCGGGCTGAGTGTTGGCGCGGCCTGGTGTGGGCCCCTGGTGTGGCCTGGGCTGGATGTGTGGCCCGGGCTGAGGATGGCGGCGGGGCTGGGTGTTGGGGCCAGGGCTGAGTGATGGAGGCAGGACTGGGTGATGGAGGCCGGGGCTGAGTATTGGTGGCCGGGCCTGAGTGATGAGGCCGGGGCTGGGTGATGGTGGCCGGGCCTGAGTGTTGGTGGCCCGGGCCTGGTGATGAGCCCGGGCTGAGTGATGGAGGCCCGGGGCTGGTGATGGAGCCCGGGACTGGGTGAGGCGGGCCTGGTGATTGGGGCTGGGTGATGGGCCAGGCTGAGTGATGGTGGCCCGTGGCTGAGTGATGGAGGCCTGGCTGGGTGTTGGTGGCCCTGGGCTGGGTGATGGTGGCCCTGGGCTGGGTGATGGAGGCCCGACTGGGTGATGGTGGCCCTGGGCTGGGTGTTGGCGGCCCGCTGAGTGATGGAGGCCCGGGCTGGGTGATGGTGGCCCGGGGCTGAGTAATGAGGCCCGGGACTGGGTGATGGTGGCCCTGCTGGGTGATGGTGGCCCGTGGCTGGAGTGATGGAGGCCCGGGCTGGGTGTTGGTGGCCCTGGGCTGGGTGATGGTAGCCCTGGGCTGGGTGATGGAGGCCCGACTGGGTGATGGTGGCCTGGGCTGGGTGTTGGCGGCCTGGGCTGAGTGATGGAGGCCCGGGATGGGTGATGGCGGCCGGATGGGTGATGGCGGCCCGGGATGGGTGATGGCGGCCGGGGCTGAGTGATGGCCGCCCGGAATGGTGATGGCGGCCCGGGATGGGATGGCGGCCGCTGAGTGATGGCGGCCCGATGGATGATGGCGGCCTGGGATGGGTGATGGCGGCCCGGGCTGGAGTGATGGCCGCCCGAATGAGTGATGGCGGCCCGGGGCTGAGTGATGGCGGCCCTGGGATGGGTGATGGAGGCCCGGGGCTGAGTGTAGGAGCGTGGCGTAACCTTAGAGATGGTCTGTGTGTGTGTGTGACCTCGAACCACACACACACACACATACACACACTACATAATACATACTTGCATTATTAACCACGTCATTTGTCTGTCCAATTGATGGTCAGGTCATACATAGGTGACATATACAACCGCCACCACAACCTCCACAACCATCATAACCACCACCACCACACCACCACAATCATCACCTCCACAACCTTCACCACAACCACCACACCTCCACCACACCACCACCATCACCACCTCCACAACCTTCACCACAACCACCGCACTCCACCACCGCCATAACCACCACCACACCACCATCACCACCACACCTCCACCACCACACCACCATTACCACCACCATAACCACCATCACCACCACACCTCCACGACCACCATAACCACCACCACCATAACCACCATCACCACTACCATAACCTCCACGATCACCACCACCACTACCATCACCACGAGTAAGGGGATCACACCATTACTACCAACACCACCATAACCACACCTAACTAGATTACACCACTACCACTGCACCACAACATCACCACCACAGGTAAAGGGGATCACTTCAGAATTTAGACAAGAATTTGGTGAAAAGAAAATATCGCGGAGAAGAGGCGGTGATGGCCGTGTTGAGACGCTGTGGGAGGAATCTAGACAGGAATGAGTTGGAATTTGAACGGGAATGAGGTAGAATTGGTAGGAATTTCCAGTGGTCATCTTACAGGAATGGGAATATGTGAGAATCTTCAGCGGGTATATTACTGGAATGGGAATTTGTTTATATTTCCAGAGGGACTTTAATGATTTTATGTTTAAGAATAGTGTATAGAAGTTCACACACACACACACACACACACACACACACACACACACACACACACACAAACAACACCAATTCCTTTAAATGAAGAACAAATTGGACCAAGTAAACGACGTGAGGCTTAAGGTGGTAACAACCGCTGTTTATGTACCCTACATACATACATACATACATACATACATACATACATACATACACACACACACACACACACACACACACAGGCAATAACAATCGGACACAAGGAGGCGATTAAGAGCTAAACGAGGCCATTCAAGGGTAATGAAACCAATGAAAACTTAACAGTGATAATACTGAAGAAACGGCTTGGTTATTGTGCCAGTACTTGTTACTTAACTTAACTGAACTTAACTTAACCTAACCTAACTTAACAACCCAACTTAACTTAACTTAACCCAACCTACCCAACTTAACTTAACTAACCTAACTAAACCTAACCTAACCTACCTAACTTAACTTAACTTAACTAACTTAACCTAAGCTAACTTAACTTAATCCCAACTCTAACAATCACACAATCATACACATATACACAGGAAGAGAAGAACACAGAGAGAGAGAGAGAGAGAGAGAGAGAGAGAGAGAGAGATGATGATAAAGTTACGAGAGGACTTTTAATTTTGACTTGTGTCTTGTCAACGTCACGACTATGTGTGTGTGTGTGTGTGTGTGTGTGTGTGTGTGTGTGTGTGTGTGTGTGTGTGTGTGTGTGTGTGTGTGTGTGTGTGTGTGTGTGTGTAATAATAATAAGATGACTATCAAGACACCATGCCAGTCTGTCACTCATTAAGACACTCAGCCACTCAGTTTGTCACTTAACACCCAACCACTCAGTCTGTCAGTCACTCAGCCAGTCGGTCGGTTGGATGTCAGTCGTCTGGTCGGATCAGTCGGTGAGTCGGACGTACACACAAATCTTCCCCTCTGTTTACATAGCAAGGCCTGACCACTCCCTCCCTTTCTCTCTCTCTCTCTCACTCTTTCTCCCTCTCCCACCTCCCCCCTCTACCTTCACGATTTCCTCCATTCCCCCCCCGCATTCCAGAAAATCCCCTCATCCCACTTACTCTTTCTCCTCCTCCCTTTTCCACAAACCTCCCTGCCCCTTTCCACATGATTCTATATTCTACCTGTGTACGGAAATCCCAATTAGTGTGGCAGGGTGAGAACTATTTAGTATCTCTCTCTCTCTCTCTCTCTCTCTCTCTCTCTCTCTCTCTCTTCATAAACCCTCCCTTCTTCTCCTTCTCCCTTCCCCTCAATCCTTCCCACCACCACCACCACCAACGTCTGGCAGGGTGTTGTAAGTAGTCGCGTCGCGTATATGGTCAGACCGACGTTTTATGGTTACGACAAATAATAATAATAACAACAACAACAACAACCGTAACAACAATCACAACAACAACCGCAAATAACAAGACAAACAAGAACCAAGGTGCGGTCATGTGTTATTACGACCGCCAATACAGCGGTTGGTTAATTACCTCCACCTCACATCGTTCATTGTCTTGGGGGCGGCTTCCTAGGTCCTACTCTCACTATTAAGAGGAGAGGGAGGGGGGTAGAGAGAGGGGAAAGGAGAGGAGGGGGTAGAGAGGGAAAGGAGAGGGAGGATAGAGAGAGGGAAAGAGAGGGAGGGGCAGAGAGGGAAAGGAGAGGGAGGGAGAGAGAGGGAAAGGAGAGGGGAGGGGAGAGAGGGAAAGGAGAGGGAGGGGGGTGAGAGAGAGGGAAAGGAGAGGGAGGGGGTAGAGAGAGGGAAAGGAGAGGGGAGGGGGGATAGAGAGAGGGAAAGGAGAGGGAGGTAGAGTGAGAGGGGAAAGGAGAGGGGAGGGGGTATAGAGAGAGGGAAAGGAGAGGGAGGGAAATGAGAGAGGGGATAGAGTGAGATGGAAAGGAGAGGAGGGGTAGGGAGGGAGGGAAAGGAGAGGGAGGGGGTAGGAGGGAGGGAAAGGAGGAGGGTAGAGGAAAGGGAAAAGGAGAGGGAGGGGGGAGAGGGGAGGAAAGGAGAGGGGGTAGAGTGAAAGGGAAAGGAGAGGAGGGGTAGAGGAGGGAAAGGAGGGAGGGGTAGAGGGAGAGGGAAAGGAGAGGGAGGGGGTAGAGTGAGAGGGAAAGGAGAGGGAGGGGGTAGGGGAGGGAGGAAAGGAGAGGGAGGGATAGAGAGAGGGGAAAGAGAGGGAGGGGGTAGGAGGAAAGGGAAAGGAGAGGGAGGGGGGGATAGAGAGAGGGAAAGGAGAGGAAAAGGAGAGGGAGGGGTAGAGTGAAAGGGAAAGGAGAGGAGGGGGTATAGAGAGAGGGAAAGGAGAGTGGGGGATAGAGTGAGGGAAAGGAAAGGAGGGGGATAGGAGGAGAGGAAAGGAAATGAGGGGATAGAGAGAGGGAAAGGAGAGGGAGGGAGATAGAGAGAGGGAAAGGAGAGGAGGGGGATAGAGAGAGGAAAAGGAGAGGGAGGGGGGGAGTGAGACGGAAAGGAGAGGGAGGGGATAGAGAGAGGAAAAGGAGAGGGAGGGGGTAGAGGAGACGGAAAGGAGAGGGAGGTAGGAGGGAGAGGGAAAGGAGAGGGAGGGGGTAGAGTGAGAGGGAAAGGAGATGGAGGGGGAGAGAGAGATAATCGCAAAAAGTGACCCAACAATTTGCAGAGACAACATTGTGCAAAACCTAACTTAACTTAACCTTGTGGGCGGGGTGTGGGGTGGGAGGGAGGTGTATGTGGGATGGAGGAGGAGGAGGAGGCAGGAGAGGAGGAGGAAGAAAGCCCTGAACTAATTAGCATATTCAGGTCCTACCAAGTCCTATTATGTAAATGGGGCGAACAAGTTTATTGAGTCGCCTATTTCAGATAACGTCGAGAGACAATAATGAAGGTCACTGTACGGCTGCTGTTAATAATGAAGGTCACTGTACGGCTGGTGTTAATAATGAAGGTCACTGTACGGCTGGTGTTAATACTGAAGGTCACTGTACGGCTGGTGTAAATAAGGTCACTGTACGGCTGGTGTTAATAATGAAGGTCACTGTACGGCTGGTGTTAATAATGAAGGTCACTGTACGGCTGCTGTAAATAATGAAGGTCACTGTACGGCTGCTAAATAATGAAGGTCACTGTACGGCTGGTGTATAATGAGGGTCACTGTACGGCTGGTGTAAATAATGAAGGTCACTGTACGGCTGGTGTTAATAATGAAGGTCACTGTACGGTTGGTGTTAATAATAAAGGTCACTGTACGGCTGGTGTTAATAATGAAGGTCACTGTACGGCTGGTAAATAATGAAGGTCACTGTACGGCTGGTGTAAATAATGAAGGTCACTGTACGGCTGGTGTTAATAATGAAGGTCACTGTACGGCTGGTGTAAATAATGGTCACTGTACGGCTGGTGTTAATAATGAAGGTCACTGTACGGCTGGTGTTAATAATGGAAGGTCACTGTACGGCTGGTGTTAATAATGAAGGTCACTGTACGGCTGGTGTAAATAATGAAGGTCACTGTACGGCTGGTGTAAATAATGAAGGTCACTGTACGGCTGGTGTTAATAATGAAGGTCACTGTACGGCTGGTGTTAATAATGAAGGTCACTGTACGGCTGGTGTAAATAATGAAGGTCACTGTACGGCTGGTGTAAATAATGAAGGTCACTGTACGACTGCTGTAAATAATGAAGGTCACTGTACGACTGCTGTAAATAATGAAGGTCACTGTACGGCTGCTGTAAATAATGAAGGTCACTGTACGACTGCTGTAAATAATGAGGGTCACTGTACGGCTGCTGTAAATAATGAGGTCACTGTACTGACTGCTGTAAATAAGAAGGTCACTGTACGGCTGGTGTAAATAATGAAGGTCACTGTACGGCTGCTGTAAATAATGAAGGTCACTGTACGGCTGGTGTTAATAATGAAGGTCACTGTACGGCTGGTAAATAATGGAGGTCACTGTACGGTTGGTGTAAATAATGAAGGTCACTGTACGGCTGGTGTTAATAATGAAGGTCACTGTACGGCTGGTGTAAATAATGAAGGTCACTGTACGGCTGGTGTTAATAATGAGGGTCATCAACGGCTGCTGTAATAATGAAGGTCACTGTACGGCTGCTGTAAATAATGAAGGTCACTGTACGGC